CTTCAAAACCTGCAATCCTTTGTTACCTGGAGATTTGTGAGGGGAGACAGAGTGGTACTAATCTTTAGCGTCTCTAAAATCTGTATCCTCAGTAACTCCAAAAGCAACTAGAAAACGGAGTTGAGTGATTTATCCAAGTCCACAGATTTGAAATGCCACACCTGAGACAATTAAGTGATTGCACATCACTTTTCTCAGCACCAGGTCTAATCACATTTTTTCAGGTGCTATTCAAACCAAGCAGCTCCGTTCTGTTGGCTGCGTGTTACCACATTCTTGGGATTTGGACAGCTTGAAGGAACAATGGTCCTACCTAATAGAAAGCTTGATTCCAAAGCTGACCTTCACACAGTGTGCCAATTTACAGACAAGAACAAGGATGTAGAAGACTAACTAATAAAAACAAACCAGGAAATATTGATTTCAACCGAGAAACATGGTGTTTAATTTAAAAGGCAGCTCTTCAGAAAATCCTTTCTTCTGTTGTCAAACAAGCATTGGAGCTTGTCTATCTTTCCAATCATTCAATTAGAACAGGGATGAAGGAGTGATACAGTCTTGGCTTTCAAGCAAACATTAGGGCACAGGGTGGATGCAGGGTTGGGATTCACTATTTTTTCAGATTGCCAGCTTTAATTTCTACTGCCTGAAAAAAGGAGATATCCTTTTCTCCTTACACATCTAGCTATTTTTCTTCTTTTCTCTCATAAGCAAAACAGAGAGGTCTAAGTCCAACTAATAGCATAAAACGTAACATGAAGGTATCTTATATGGCTAAAGTTTTTCACTTTATAAAGTCAAAGGACTTAGACTTGCACTTTGTTTTCTAGGTTAATATACTACTTGGAATACAAATGAAAGTGCAAATTTCAGTTGATTGATTCTGCCTGAAAGCACTAAATTTAAGAGTCTTCTAAGTGTAAAGGTTTATATCTTTTATTTGTTTACCTGGTTTCAAAAGATAATTGCAGTAAGTGATATCTTAGACCAATATTGGGTCTCAAAAGATAACTGCAGTAAGGAATATCTTTGACCAATTTTAATGAAAATAAAGTTTTCAAGTATGCATATGTGAGCTAAAGTGTAACACTCTAATACATTTAGCGATGTAGAGAGGGTAGGTTAAGGTCAAATAAGTAACTTCAAATTAAGATTTAAGCACACGATTACTGAGCAACTCAAGTAATATCAAGAGTAAAAAAATTACAAATTTTCAGCACATGATTGCTTACCATGGTGATGGGGTAATGAGGCGTGTTGGTGTTCAGGTAACCATTTGTGATTTTACTTCTATCCTGCATCTTAGGAGTATGTGAATGTATCAGGTAAATCCCTGCTACTTTCTAAGTACAGTAAATGTAAATATCCTGAGCTATGCTAGATCTATGAATAATTTTAGTGATAAGTGACTTTCCCTCAGGTGTATAGAAACATTGTCTAAATAAATTCATCCATTTCTGTCACCCTGAAAGAGAAGTCCATGTACAAAATGCCCCATTGCTTGTAAAGTATAAGCCAGAAAGAATCATTTGTAATTCCAATGGATATTGCTTAAATAGAAAATTTTGTGCCACAAATTTAAAATTCCAGAATCAACCTCACACAGATCTCTTGTCACATGTAACTTTGAAGTCTTGTCAGCACAGCTACCTAATTTATATGAAGCACCCTGGAGTCAGTGTCTCTTTGTAGTGTTATTTGTCAAATAATTCAAGCACTGCTTTAAAGTATATGTGAGTTTCTAATCAAGAGTTTCTAATCAGTCCCTGGGCCTTTAAATGGTATGCGATGTGATGCATAATTTTTTCCTCTAAGTATGTGAAATTCTAAGTTATATTTGCCTTTGATGTCTTTACTTTTCTTTATTTTAGAAGTATTGCAGGAAGGAATAAAGCTACTGCAAAGTAAACATTCGATATTCTGCTAAAGGAGAAAGGACCTAGCAAGAATGTGAGAGGGTGTGTGTATGTTTGTATCTATGTGTGTCTGTGGGTATATGTGCTCTTCTGTGAGAAACAAAAATGCAACTGGATCCTGGGGGGAGTTTTAATCAAAATAAAATACTCCCAACTTAGCATTTCTTTGTTAATAACCTGGAGCCTCTTGTATATCCACATCAGGTTAGAAATTGGGGTTTCTTGTTACAGACACTCTCATTCCCTCATCTCAAGTGTTACGCTTCAAACCCTTACAAAAATTTCTGCCTGGATTCTGCAGTCCATGACCTCAAAATTATATTATTATTTAGGATCTTCTGGAAGCATATGGTACAGACCTCTACTATAAAACTGATTAATTTTCTGAGATAACTGAATGACAAAAATCAATCAAAAGTAGTACAAAGAATAAACTCAAAGCTATGTATATATGTTTGAGACAGAAAGAAATGGAAAAAGAAAACCAGAATGAAACATTTGTATTTTTCCATCTGTACATCCAGATATACACACATGCATATATCATATCCACACATTCACACATACACGGGGAGGGGGGAGAGATTAAGTTAGCGGAGATGACTGTCTGAAGGCAGTTAATTGAAAAGCAGAAAAACTCAGATTTCTTGGGGAACACTTTCTCTGCTAACTTTATAACTTAATAATTCCCATTAACAATCCAAGGATGACAGCCAGGCTACCAAGAAAAAGAGGAAAATAAAGGTGAGTATCCATGCACCTCAAAGAAAAATTTAAAAACTAGTTAATGAGTCTAATTTTGTGAAGACAGCACTTCACTGCAACTGTGATGAGACAAGTCAACATAAGATCAGAGAAAGTTAAAATTCCATGAGTTCATAAAAACTGTCAAGAGCTCTATAACTTCCTGTCACTTTTGAAGGCAAAGTACTCAATGGGAATATCCGAATATGGATGAAAAAATTGTTAGTTAAGTGTGTAATATCTTAAAAGCTATCTTAGGATTAAAGCTGATAACTAGTAGGCACTACCAAAGTTCAAAGATTGTTAAATATTGAAATCACATCTGCTTAATCGCCCTGAGTGTATTTCTACCTGGGTTCCCTGCTTTCCCACCAACCAGCAACTCAAATGTTAGCACCAAGGGCCCTAAAGTCAATGTCCTTTCCTAGTTGTCTGTGCTCTGTGCCAACCAAAGCCACCATGTGTTTTGTCACCTGCCCCCCAGACTCAGGGCTTAGAAAGGTCAATTTTTGCCCCCTGTGGGCCTTCCTCTCCTGACCTTTCCAAGAAGGCCAAAGAAAGAAAAGGAGATGAGGCAGCTGGGCAGTAATGGGGAATACTCCAAACACCAACCCAATGGTGCAGGCTCCAGCTACTCAGCAGAATATCCCATAAGAGAAAAGAAGCTATGGGAGTCAGTAGGGATGGTGGTAATGGGTTGTGACCTGGGCCAAAGAGGCCCAGTGAGGATCCCCATTTAACTATCTTTGTTGAGGGGCATCTGAATGGCTCGGTCAGTTAAGCGTCTGACTCTTGATTTCCACTCAGGTCATGATCTCAGGGTCGTGAGATAGAGCCCTGTGTAGGGCTCTGCACTGGGTGTGAAGCTTGCTTAAGATTCTCTCTCTGCCCCTACTCCCCCATGCCTCTCATCCCCAATCTCTGTCTCTCTCAAAAAAAAAAAAAATAAAAATCTTTGTTGAATTTCAGTACCATTTAATAGTACACCTTTCTTGAAATACAAATAAGCCCTCATGTCTGGAACATTAACAATATTAATATTATCTTTATTAATAAATATAAAGAGCTATCTGTTACAATGTCTTCAATATGTGCTGAAAATACTATAAACACACACACTGGTATAATTTGAACACTAAAGTTATCATCATCATTTCAATCATTTAGATGAAGGAAAACTTCATAGGACATAGGGTTTATTTAAATATTGAATGGTAGAGGCAGGGATTCAACCCAAACAACCTGAGAGTAGAGGCCAATTTCTATGCTAGCTGTTCTCTCATGGCCCACAGGGCTCAGTAGGACTTAGATAGGATAGATAGCCCATGACCTTTCCCAAACTCAAATTTGGAAAACACTAGGTCAAGCTTATCTCATTTTTTTAATGTAGGCCTCTTTGGGTATTTTTAAAATACGTTATCAAAATTAAATGTATTATGATTGTAAATCAAGTAATTCAAAGAGATTGTGCTTAAAATTATCTTCATAAAATCTTTCCCTTCTCTCAGCCTCACTTTTACCTTTGATTTCTGCTTTTGTTTCTTAATTTCAGTTGGTGATTGACTTTTTAGCTCTAAAGCTAGAATAATAACTTTAACAACTTCTAAATAATATCTGGATGGCACTATCCCTTTTTAAATTTTTTTTTTTTAATTTTTTAAAGATTTTGTTTATTTGAGAGAGAGAGAGTGTGAGCACAAGCATGGGGGAGGAGCAGAGGGAAAGGGAGAAGCAGACTCCCTGCTGAGCAGGGAGCACAATGTGGGGGGCCAATTCCAGGACCCCGGGATCATGACCTGAGCCAAAGGCAGATGCTTAACCAACTGAGCCACCCAGGTGCCCCAGGACAGGACTATATCTTGATATATATACTTTTGAGAATTGTAATTAGCCAAAGAAAATAATTTCGTTTACTTGTCACTTTCCCCCTACTTCATTCTATAGTTGATATTTACATTTAGTTCTTCTTTTGCATATCTTCTACTTCTGAATGATACCTCTGAATTGTATTTGTCTATCAACCTTGATTAGCTTTTCTCACGGTCTGCACCCCACTTTTTCTTCCGCTCTGCTGACCCACTTTCCTCCGCCTATCCTACTCTGGCCTAGGACACACAGCTTTACTTTTACATCACTAAGGCCAGTGTGTACACTGTCTTCTGCCAATACAACCAGTTGTCTTCTATTTGAAGACTCCTGGAAAATCTAATGGTGTGAGATCATGTTATTATGTGAACTCAGCTTTCGGCATGGGGATCATACATCTTATAATGTAGCTCTTGTTCAGTTGCATATTCTTTCAAGAAGTAAACAATGTTCCAAGACCTCAAACTACAGTACCTGTAACTTTCAGCTTTTCAGCCCCAATGGTAATCTCATCTTCATCTGCAGAGAACAGCACCCTGCCATCTTCACTCGCTCTCACTTCAAATCTTTTACACTGAGCTTCCACAGCATCAGCTCCTATGATCAGAGGAAAGGTTTAAAAATGAAACTGGTATGCAGGAAACCATTAACATGTATTTTTTTTCTTTTTAGAAAAAGAGAAGAAATGCATATATTATTTAGTTATTTTACCTCTGTAGTATGTTTTACACCTGAATTAATATTTTTAAATTGTTACCCTTTCCAGTAGGCTGTTTAATTTGGTAGTTTGCTGAGCTAGGATGGTTGGGCATACATCTGACCTCTAAATGCTTGACATAGTCCTAACAAGGTTTGTAGGTTTAGCTAATTAAAAACAACAACAATAACAAAAACAAAACCAAACCAAAAAAAAGCTTTTGCATATACACAAGGAGAGATGACATCTGCTTTGTTCTTGGTTATTGCCTGAAAACTTGGCTTTATACCTAGCACATGCTAGATGCTCAATAAATACTTGTGGTCAGAATGACTCCCATTTACTTTCTGTAAGCAGACAATAGTCCCCACGCTTGCTACATCACAAGGTACTTGTAAAGCATTACTCAGTTGTGGAGTACACTACATTTAGCTACACTACATTTCATATATGCTAATATTGAAATTTGTTCACCTTTTACTATCACTGAATGCGAATGCATTTTACAGTTGATCTTGCAAAATACATATATGTATATATATATATATATATACTTGTTTTTAGTGCTCCCCAATGTATCTTCTCATCAATAACTTTCTTGATTTATTAAAATATAGTATTAAATAAATATAGTTACACCATGGAATTGAAAATCTGTTTCTGATTTATTGGACAATTTTGCATATTAATCCATCCACAAATCACAAAGGCAGCTTCCATATTTGGAAAACATGATTAATTTGTGAGTTTGAAAGTCTTCAACAAAAAGATCAAACTGGCCAGAGGGTGAGGAATTGCTATTTCCATAACATCAATTTATTTCATTTGGCATAACACATTTGGCATATGCTATATCTTCCCCTCCGGTTACGATTTGGAGCGTTTCTCCTCTGCTCTCTACATCAGAAACCCTTCTCAGATACAGTCCAGCCCAGTCAGGGACCTAGGGACATCACACTTGTGTGTACCTCTTTTCATTTACTTTGCTTATGCTATGGACTGAATGTCTGTGCTTGCCAAAAATTCTTATGTTGAAATCCAAGCCCACCACGTGGTTGTATTAGGAAAGGCGGTCTTTGGGGAGGTGATTAGGTCCTGAGGGTGGAGCTCTCACGAATGGGATTAGTGACCTTATAAAGTCTGCCGTTTTCCTCCCTGCAATCTGCCAGGTGAGGACCTAGTGAGAAGCCGGCTATGTACAGACCAGGAAGTAGCCTCTCGTGAGACGCTGGGTGTGTTAGTGCCTTGCTGTTGGGATTCCCAGCACGTAGAGTTGTGAGAAATCAAGTTCTGTCGTTTAAACCACCCAGTCTATGGTATTTTATTATAGCAGCCCAATCAGACTGAGACAATATACTACCAATATCTTTTAGATACATGTCCCCCAGGAATTCAAAACGTGAGATCATCTTTGTATCCCAAAATTTCCTCCAAATTTAAAATTGGATCTGATTTCTAGGGCTACTTAGGGTAAGAAGTTAGACAGGTGAAGGAATACCAGACATAAACTTCCGGTCCCTTTCCTGGGCCCTCAACCCCACCCCAGCCCTGCTCCCAGGCCTAGCCCACCGGCTTTAGTATCGCATACCTCCCCACCATCATAGCTTCTGAGGGGCACTTAACTAGAGGAAAATATTAATTCCAAACCCTGATAACATGTGGGATAATTTCTCTGAAAACAAGATGTATATTTTTCTTATAATATAAGAAACTGTGTTTTCAAGTCCACATAGAAAATTTTAAAACTATGACAATGTTAAGTCAGATAAAACTGATGTTAACCTTTGCAGGCTGTCAAGATCAAAACAGCATGAATTTTACTTTAACATCTGTTATATATTTTTTTAAGCAAATCACTTTTCTTATGAAATTTAATGACAGTATTGGAGAAACCATGGAAGACCTACTGTTCTTGGTGACAGTCATTGCCTTTGATCTGGCAAACATTATTTCATCAGACTGTATCAGTTGAGTATGTCTTCTGCTAATCATGATCTAACCTTCCTGTATTGTGCTTTTAATCTTTAAACCATAGTAACCCAACTGGGTGATGTTCAAAAAACTGTGCTTGGGGCTGGTGTGTTGATAAATGTGACTTCTAAGTGTGGAGGCCTCTGTGTGGAGGCCTCTATGTCTCCATCTTCTAGGCACTCAGACATAACACTAAATCTGAACTGCCTGGAAGATATTCTAGATATTATACATGTAAAACCTTAACTTGTACATCACATTGCTATCTTCAAATATACTTACTTATTGGGTGAACTGATGCACAAAATATATCAGTGACTTCAATGACCCTGAAGTGCATTAGATCACTATATGTATATGATATATGTAATATAAAATATATACACACACATGCTGCATATAGTTACAAATTTATAAGACTCTTTTTGGCATAACATTTAATGTCATTATATGGAAGGTACTTTATTAATATAAACATGCTATATTGTGTGTCACATAAACAAGTAGAAATATAAGCAGAATACCTGGATATGGCAAAGTCAGTTGAAATCTTAATTCATTAAATTTAAATAAGCAAAAGCAAATAAGCAAGTAAGAAAATGTATGCACACCTGGAATAAAAAAAAAAATGCATCCAGGCCATAAATAAATGCATGGGGAAACATTCAATTAAAAATAGATATATAAATTAATACTGCAGACTACACTTTATTCAACATATTAGTAAAATTTCAGAAGGCAAAACTGCAAGCAATTAGCAATATATTGACAATAAATATTTTAAATCAGAAAATAATTTTGAATATATTGTGCTTCTATACATTGCTTTTCTGCAAATAGCAAAGAGTAAATGCATGTAATTAGACACATATTGCATTGTTGTGAATATGTTTAAAGTTAATGCATTAGGCTACATGAAATTGAATTTATTACATTATAACATGTTTTGTGGTGTCTTATTCTGTTTTTCATGTTTCTATCTTCACATATCTGCTAGGCAAGGCCAACTCAGCATCCAGTTGTTCGGAGGGGAGCAAATGCTCAGTTCCATTTTTTCTCAACCAGCAATGCTTCCAGAGTCTCAGGAAAGCAATATGCCTAATGACTCTGGATAAGGAGCTCTGATTCCTTAGCAAATAGATCGTGGGGAATTAGGGCTATCTGGACAGTTCTATATTTTACTAGTCATCTTATTTTTTTTAATTTTAAGATTTTATTTATTTGAGAGAGAGAGAGAACACAAGCAGGGATGGGGTAGAGGGAGAGGGAGAAGCAGACTCCCACTGAGCAGGAAGCCTGAAGACTCAGGACTCCATCTCTGGACCCTGAGATCATGACCTGAGCCAAAGGCAGCCACTTAAATTACTGAGCCACCCATGTGCCCTTTTACTGGTCGTCTTAAACACTAACTTGCTAACTAAAGTCTCAAGACTAAAGGCTTACTTAAGAATACCTGAAGAAATTTATGTTAGCAACTTCAAAATCAAACAAAGAACAGTCAAGGATAAAATAAGTAAAGAGCATTGGAAGGAAAAAGATAGAAAACATGTAAGCAAAATCAGTTTCCACAAAAGCATTGAAGTATTCAATATGTATATCCAAATATTTTCTTTAGTTCATTTAATATTCTGTATATATTCTTTAAAAGCAAACAAACAAAGCAACAACCAAGCTAATTTCTTTTTCTCCTCAGAGATGGCTCTGTTGCCTTTCTGGAACATTCACATTTCTTACAGTCATATTCAGTAGCCAAAGGCATATCTGCTGACAAATGGAGAGGCTCCAGTAATTTATCTACTGTCTTTGCATTTTCTACATTAAATCAGTCAAACACATGAATTGGAAAATTTTCTTCAATAAAAGTCTCCACAGGGGCTCAAACAATATATTTCCATGGGGTCTCTTGGTACTATTTAGTTCTAATTTAAAGAAAACAAGGCAAAGATCAAAATGGGTATGTCTAATTATCTCTGGTGTGTTTTCCTCAAGCATACCATGATGTATCTTTCTTCCTATATAACTCTGATTTTACATGTTGTCAGTATTTTCAAGGTCTTGAAGAAGAGTATTATTAAAAGATTAGAAATTCCCAGAAGAAAAATGAAAACAAGAGTCAATATAGTCAACTAAATTCAGAGTTCTGGAATTCCTGTTTTAGAATTATCATGGGCCCCCTAAAAACAAAACCAAAGAAGCTGAAACAAAACAAAAGAAGCTGCTTTCATGAAATAGAAATATAAATAAGCATTGTACTTTATTTTATTTTACATTATGCATGTCATTAAAAACTCTCATTTGGGGGGCGCCTGGGTGGCTCAGTCGTTAAGCGACTGCCTTCGGCTCCGGTCATGATCCCAGCATCCTGGGATTGAGCCCTGCATCGGGCTCCCTGCTCTGCAGGAAGCCTGCTTCTCCCTCTCCCACTCCCCCTGCTTGTGTTCCCTCTCTCGCTGTGTCTCTCTGTCAAATAAATAAATAAAAAATCTTTAAAAAGAAAAAAAACCCTCTCATTTGGAAAGTGTACTCTTAGTTTACCTAGGGAGAGAAGGAGAAGAAGCAGAATGAGGGAAAGGTTACAGGGGCTGGGCTGGGGGGCTTATCTTGGAACAAGGGCTCCTGTGCCTTTGGCAATTGCTATCTACACTAGATCCTGTCAGAGATTAGCACACCCTGCCTCCTGCAACCTACCCCCTCAACCTCAGGAACTGATTTCTGTTTCAGAATTGGAGGAGTAACCATTCTGTCTCCAGCAAATAAGGTAGCTCTAGGAACCCTGAGGTTACATTCACCCTTAGATCCCTACCTGGGCCTTCCTACCATCCTGTGTCTAGACCAGTGCCTTGTCCATAGTAATTCCTCAATAAAAGTTTATTTTTACAAAATAAATGAGCATAGGGGAGAAAAAAAGAGAGAGAGAAAGGGAGGCAAA